AAGAGATATCCTATATATATATATATATATATAAGCTTGTACTTAGGTGAAACGTAATGTATTTTAATTTATATTAATATAGAGAAATTGAATAAAATATATTTAACATTTATGTCACTTAATGAGGTTTAAGAATATATGTTACTTTTATTTTTGTCCACAAGCTTTCCAATTATCAAAATGTGTGAATCTCCATAACTTCCATAAACTATTCGTGTTTTAGTTTTCACACAATTAGGGTTTTAATTTGGTGCTAAAAGAGAGAGATTTTTAAGGTGACTCACCCAGAAAATTTTTTTCCAAACGTACAAGGAACCTCCTTTCACAAATCTAAGTTAAATAATTGAGAATGACTGAAATGATATTATTCTCCGATAAACCTAAAATTTCGAATAAACTTAATTACAACATCTTTTAACTAGTTTTTCAAATTAGGATTTCTTAAGTTTTAAAATTGTAAAATTGTTCCAAATTTGTTTGGTTAGATACTGTGAAGAGCTAATATTCCAATTTATTGTAATAACTTTTAATATTTATATATGAAAAAGTATAGCTTCTTTTTTCCTATTGCAGCAATGGCCGAATAGTAAAAAAGAAACTACAATAAGAATGTCAACTCCGGTATGAAGACACGCTTTGTAAATGAAAGTTCCAGTGAAGGAACGACAATAAAAACCCAAAATAAAAGAGATGCTTAAAAATTGAAGTTTCAATTCTGGAAGCATTCAAACGCAAAAAAGAGTTGCCATAAAAAGAAAAGAATGTTATCCAGGTTGAATTACAACAGATAGAAGTGGAATTCCCCTTGGCGTCGAACATTCATTTTAACACCAAGCTTCTTTCATAAATCATCTGTAGTCTGTCCAAACTGGGAGAGAAAGCCATTGTTTACGAATTACGACGGAATTCACTCCCGGAAACTTAGGAATGTCGTCAGAAAAATAAGAAGTTTTCGTGTTAAACTTCACAAGTGGCGACAAAATAGGCGACAACTCCGTTGATGAATTACAGCTTGGGATTCAAACCATTAGCCTGCGACATAAATGTCTTGGCGATATATTACAAGAGTGAGATAGAAAGAATGATGTTTGTTGAGATAATTAACCTTTTATTCGAAATTCTATAAATTGCAGTTATTATAGAGATGTTGATACTCTAAGCAGGTGTTATACGTTACTGTTCTTGGGGAAAGTGTCAAATATTTTTACATGTTTGTAATATTCACAAATTTAAATCAAATTATTTTGCTTGTCTGTATGAACATTTAAAATCTGTACAAAGGCATTTGTTTTATTTACACATCTGTTGTTTGTTTTTACAAATGTAAATAAAAATTCAGTTTTTCGAGTTTTTTGTTGTTTTGATAGTGTGATATATAATTTGTGATTTCTTAGGAATATTTTAAACTCAACTAAATTAAGAAAAAAAATAATCATAATGATCAATTACAAAGGAGAGAAAATTGCTATCGCATTATTGAGATCTCAAACTTCCCATTAGTCTATTTTTTTCTGCGTAGCTCTTTTGAACGTCTCAACAAATCAAAACGCCACAGCATTGCCAAAAATGGCATATATAGGCTTTTGCCAATTGCAATCAGATTTATTTTTCTGTTCAGCACCAGCCCATATAAACAGAGAAAAAAAATTCTGACAATAGCATTTCCGGTAAAAAAAACGCACTTCTGGTAATAAGAAGCAAAATGTACGATATTCAAACCATTTATTTGGAATTTTTTTTCTGTTCTTATGGTAATGGTCAACCAGATGCTCTGGTTTTCAAAATTATAATTCCTATTATCACACATTTAGTAAAAAGAAAAATAATACAAAAGATTAATTAGCCGAAGAAATGGAACCGAATTTTACATCTTTACAAATATTTTTCACATAGTATAAATTCAGATTTTACTGTTAACTTCACCAAAATCCTTACCAAAGCACTTCTGTAGAAATTATTGGTCTTTTTGGGGCTCCCATAGAGCCGGAAACACTGTAAAATTTACTATTTTCTAGTACAGTACACGTTTAAGATGTTTATAAATTCTTTTCTTTCTTCACTATTCATATTGATATTAAAATCGCCACCAAGATTACATTATGGATAAGATGAAATAAAACATTATGACGTTCTTTTAAATACTAACTTTATATAACTGGTTCAAAAACTTTACAACAGTTACTTTAAATCTCAACTGATATAAAAACTTTAAAAATGAACATTGGCGGAAAAAAAAGAAATATTCAGACTGGAAATATCGTCAGTTAATATTTTTAATATTTGATCTTGTTGTGTTGCCTTTCTATTAATGTTTGTGTAAGACCTATTTCGGTTTATAACTCATACAACTTTCCATTTATGATTATGGTGAATTTGATGCAGTCGATGAAGTTGATCAAAAAGAGATATCCGTGGACAAACCTCGAAAAATACCCATTTTCCCAATGGTTACCATTTTTTTTTCAAATTCATCTGAAGGATTTTAGCTTAATTGAAGCTCTGAAAGATTGTAGCTAATAACGATTACATTTTTTTAAAAAACATTTTATTTTCGAAATCAATTAGTGATATTCATGAATTTCTTATCAATTTAATTCCAAACCTTAATATTCTAAATTGAAGAAAGCAGTTTGTAATAAAATTAATGCAAAATCAGATGTCTCATTGCAAAATTATGGTTTCCTCTCAGATTGTTTGAAATGTCGAGTCATGCAAAGTCGTATTTGTATCAATTTTTACAATGTAATTAAATTTTTAAGGTTCAATTTTGAAAATAAGAAGCCGTTGATTTGAATAATATTTTAAAGATAATACTGTTTTTTACTCGAAATTTTTTAAGGAGTAGCTACGAAATATCAATTTTTAAAACCTTCGACAAAATGATTTTTAGGATGAAAAGAGGACTGAGGTTTTTAATTCAGGCTAATTTCAGATAAATTATTTCGAGTTGGATTATAATCAACACTAATAATTAACTTGAAATGAAACAATACATACAAATGATAACCCAAATCATTTCATCTACATTTCATAGTGAGTGAAATAGGTCTCGCAGGTAAAGGTCATAATTCCGTGACTAATGACATGATGATTATCAAAATGTGGTAAGAAATGCGCACAAGCCGCGTTTACTTCCCTAAAACAGCCGTGTTTATCCCCCATGAATTCTGAAGCTGGTTGAGCTTTAAGCTTCCACTAGGGTTCAAGTCACGGTTCCACACAATGAAATAAGCTTCTTAACCAGAGAGGCATTCACATGAAATGTTACTAAACAAAATATATTTTTTGCGAGAAAGATATTAAATCTCTATTGTGAAAAAATTCCGGATTAAATTACAGTATAGCCCTCTGATTCCGATCGAGTCCTAGAATTTGTGTCCCTTCATTACGGGAGTTTTCTGAAAGCAGTTTCTATGATTGAACTCGTCCAAAACTATCTTCCTGTGAGGGGTTGAGGAGGGGTCATCGTTTTCTCGCAGTTGAGTATTCAAAATCACTCATGCGGCAAAGGAGGGGAATTGTTGACAAATTAGAACATTTACATGAAATATAAGTTTTCCGAAAATAAAAGTTTAGCACCTTATTGGCGATTTTCAAGTAGAGGAGTAATAAATTATACTTTAATTTTTTTCTTTCTTTTATTTATTTCGTTCTTTCTTCCTTTTTTTCTATTCTTTCGACATTTTAAATAAGAGAGGAAGACTCTTTTGATAAGTGCCGAATATTCAAATTATCTCATCCGTTTAATTTTTGTATAAGTACAGCGATTTATTAATTTTATTTAATGCAACATGGTTTATGAAATCTAATATTATGATTGTGTTATCTTTAAATTTATTTCTTAAATAAAGAAATTAAT